CCCAATGACCCCACCTACCATGGGGTCCTACAATGCCAACCAAGAACACTGCAGCAATGCCAGGGCTTCTTGAGCACTATAACCAAACACCAGCATCAGACACAATGTCCACAACACCCGTTGAGAATGCCGACCACTAGTACTCAGTTGACCCTAGCCCAACAAAACTGGCCGATTGACCCTTGTGGGGGGCACCCCAAGTCCACCCATCTTCAAGAATTCTTGGCCAAAGTGGTGTGTTGCAGTGCCCCTGACACCACTCAACCACCAGATGAGGTAAATTGAAGATAAAGAACCTTCCCTGGGAGGTCCCCTCATCACGTAGAGGAATCCACCTCAAGGGGTTGTACACCAGAAATCAATGTTACACCTGCAATTATCTAATTCACAGAAAATCTAAACAATTCCATGTAAATACCCACATTATCACTTTTTGCTCATTCCCAATTCATCCCAGAAGAAGAATGATCTACTTTCTCAAAGACGTGGAATATATGGTCTCTTTTTTTTAGCCCTATTAGATATACTTGGACCTTAAATGTTTTTTTTTTTTAAAGAATATTACCATACAATGTTTCTGATGCCAAAATCTTTCCAACTCCACTTTGTGGTTTATGCCTATTTGTATATCATTGAGACCAGAGAGTACCTCACATCTAAAAATAGATTCAATTTTCATCTCAGTTGATATTCTTTAAATAGATAACTGACTACATATTTCAAAATGTTTTTGTTGATTTTACCATTTGCTCAATATGTATATGCATAATGTATGATTTACAACTAATGGACACTTTCTTGTTATCACTGGAATCCTTAATCATCTCACTACATGTAGATGAGAGTGTATGTCACAATCTTTTAGAGAGTTGCATTCAAAAGTTAATTATATGACTTTACTCTAATTGTATACAAAAAAACTTGGCATCAAAACATAGTTAGTAAACCAAATTTTCATATTATTTAACTTTTAAGTTGATTTTAATAAAGAAATAATTAAAAAATCCTCAATCTCTCCTAGTATGAAAATTATGACATTTGCTTTCTAGGTCTTCCCTCTTCTCTATGTATTTATCACAATTTTGAGAAGTGAAGAATTTAATGTAAATTACTAATTATAATATTGATATTATTAAAGCAAAAATAATTTTGCATAGCCCTCAATTTTATTTGTTTATAGAGCCACACACCAGAAAATCAGACCCACTTGCCATGCCCACCTGTCACATTCTCTCTTTCACAGTAGTTCTCTCTGATGTTTAATATTCTATTATTTATAACCAATAGAAAGCCAAAGTTTTAAATCATTCAAATGACATATTATATAATGTTGTTTTCTGTACAATGTTGTATACTTCACCCCCAGCTTGAAATTTCTTTAGTGATATTCATATTAACAAGCTTGGCTAAATTTTTAAAGGCTCTTATTGTATAGTTAGAAAGCCAGATAAGATTATGGTAGTTATAAGACAATGTTTACTTTGTGCAAGTTATTATTCTATATTCTTAGCTGCATTATTTATTTAAACATAAAATATTTAGTGTACTAGTACAATTACTATAAAAAGATAAGATTAACTTTCATGAAGAGTCGACAGCAAAAAACAAGACCCAAGTAAATTCTATTTTCCTTGTTTTACATGTATATTCTTTACTTATTATTATAAAAGTAACTAAAATGTAAAAATTAGAAACTTGTTAGGTCAGATATGGTTAGATTAGTTGAGATTATGGAAAAAATAAACATTCTTCACGAGGTATACTCATGAACAAGCTCATGAGTAGCTTGTGCATTACATTATACAAAATGTTAACATAAGCTACACATTCATTGAGTGATTTCCAACTTGTGAGAAGAGATTATCAGTTAGACACAGATCAAAGGGCAATAAAACAATACAAGTTATTATAAACAGATGTATACTGTTAAGACCATTAAGCTATTTAGGATAACCAATTGTAGTTTCCTATTACAATCTGCAGTCATCTTAGAAAGAAAGAAGAGTAATTTAGATTTATTTTGTGTTTTTTCGTGGTGGTTATGAAGTCAGCCAAATTGACCAAATGCATATAGACTTAAGGTAGAGAAAATAACACATAAAATATAATGTTTTAGTGAAAGAAACATTTGATATTTATTTAAGAGGTCTTATAGATTATGCAAATGAAATTTGACAATTGTGAGGTGAAAAAAAATATTTTTAATCTCAAAATGAACATTGCTTAATACTCAGAGCAGTCAACACTCTGACTCCATATATTCAACGACAAATGTTTATTAATAAAAATAATTAACAGTAATGTTTACTGAAAGCTTCCTCAATTTTGTGAATATACACAAAACATATTAACATTTATAGTACTGAGACTCTGTGATCATTTTTGGTTTACAAACTTGGTTGAATCGGCTGAACCAATAGCATAAGGTTTAAGTTTTTCATTCAGAATGACAATTTTGTTCAAGTTACATTACTCTCCTCTTTTAATTTACAAACAATGAATAAAGGTAAGGATATAAGTTGTAAGTATTAGCAGAAAAGGTAATTTACAAATAATGTTGCAAAACTGGGCAGCAAGAGCTATCTTAACTCTTTCACTATTACATTAATTTTTAGATACACAATACAAAATATAAAGTAATATTTCATTACATGTATGAAGTTACAAACTGGTAAACTTGTGAATCTTGCAAGGGAACACTCTTTCTTCACAATGGTGCAAAATAACAAATTCCCAGGCCAGTGTTCTAGATAATTACATACTTGTGCCTTTGAGAGTGAAATATTTACACAGATTCATACTTAACATACCACAGACTAAATCTACAGATAACAGGTAGTATCAGCAGTCAGCACTCAGCTGTGAGAACACAAACAAGTCATTATAAAAAACATATTTGTTCATAGTACTTCTATTTAGTAAGGGAAGCTAAAATTACTTTTATAAATAGTTTTTAGTGTAACTCACTACATGGCACCAGTAAACAATCAGTTAATAATAAATAGATGAAAATAATCTCAGTCATTTATGGGATCAAATCATTGTGTGTTATATTCAGATACAACTGATTTCCTGACAAGTATTAAACAGGCAAATCTGCAAGTTACAAAAGATTCAATCAAGAAATAAGAGGAGTGTTCTGAATAGATGATATGATTGAGTACCTTCATATGTAAGTAAATGAGTAAAATATTTATTGTTACAAAACTAGAAAGCACAATGTATATATCTATGCAAATAGAAAGAAAATCACTGTTACTTCTCTGCACTTAGCTCTAAAGATTTCTCTCCCTCAGAATTAACCTCCTTAGAACTAAAGGATAACATTCTTTAAATAACACTTCACTATCATGTTGTAGAAACTGGCTAAAGAAAGAATGCCTGAATTCAACAAATAAATTGCCCTCTTCATTCAGTTTACAGTATCACCTTGTGACCTACGTTCTCCCACAGCATTGATTGGCTGTACTTAGACAAAGTTAGTTCAACCATCAAGGGTATTACAATGATAATCCTTTAAACCTGGATTCTATATTTTATTGCAATATCTTCTTTGACAAAATACATCATAGAAAATGAAGAAGCAAAGCAATTAAAACAAAGAAATGTGTATTAACAGTATGGAACTAAATAAAAATATATATATTTAAATCTGTATACCACTAAAGCAGGAAGAAAACATATTATATGCTTGCCTATTACAATGGTATATTAGAAGCTTACAGATTCAGAAACTTCTTTATACTGTTGTGTGTTAGATGTAAAAACAGTGCAGTACTAATACTGTAGCTTATGTGGTTCACTTTATTTATTGTGGTGAAAAATATAAATTAACAAGAAAGAGTGGGGATGAATAAAATTAATGTTAGGAAGTACTTCTATCATGCACAAACCATAGCAAAATCGGACTCTTGTGTATGCTCACAAGGATATTAGGATGAATAACCACATGAACAGTTTCAAATCTTGTTTTAAAGGTAGTATATGTAACAGGGACACCACTAAGCACAACTGCAAACACATTCTGTTCAGCTGCTTCCAGTGCATAACTTGTAACCCAATACCATTTCTAAAATAAAATATTTTAGTTCCACAGAAATTAATAACATTAAAATAATTCAGAGTATAATTTACATGGTTTGTTCGCATGCTTAAGACAAAGCTGAAAGTGTTTATATAGCTTTTGAAATTTCTGCTTCATCTTACTCATCCCACAACCCCAGCCTGGTAATTAATTGTATATTTTTCCTTAAATAAGGTAGAACTCTGGTTACATAAATTGATAATTTTAGTTGTATAAAAATGCATGAAAAGTTCAATTCTTGGATTTTTTCTATAAACATAAATGTAGCACTAGATGTAAAAGAATTTTTTAATGTTTTGTCACATATTTTCAAAAGTATGAATGTATGTGTATTATACAGTGTTGAATTGTGTTTAGAATTTTAAGCACTATTTATATTGTACTTCAATGAATTGTACCTAAACATTAAAACATCAACTACCTCAATTTTGAATTATATGCAGATTCATAACTTCTAAGTAAACTTATGCTTATCAAAGTTAACTTGACTATTGAAAAGTGTTTCAAGATCTGGTTTTTATATATAAAAATTTCTGAAGTGTTTCTCAAGAATACAAGTTATATATCATCAGGCCCATATGCAGAATGTGTGAAACGGGGGTTCTAATTTGCTAGATCAAAAGCCAACACATATTGTGCAAAGCATACTAATACTACGAAGGTCTGGGGGCATGTGGCTATTTCAAGCCAAAAAATGATAATACTTCATCAGAAAAACATACACTATGTAGAAAACGTAAAGTACCATAAATAGCTGTGCTATAACTATATAAGCAAAATTTTCTTTACATCACAAAAATTGGAGGTTAGGATGAACCCCCTCAAACTTCCCCTGCATACGTGCATGATCATGATAAAACAACAATTAAAAACACTTTTGAAATATTGTATCCTATCTTATTAAATATAAACTCACCTGTCTGAACAAAATTCCAATCTGTTGACCTTTCTTTCTTACAACTTCAAAATCGTAAGTAGTCCAAGATGTGCCTTGGGAACATGTCACTTCTATCCATGCTGAGCAATCTAGAAACAGACAATAACAAATGCAAGTGAATGTACATTTTACTACACAACATGTTATATATCTTTAAGGGATATGTGACATGTACAGTGGTCAAACTGAAAAATCTAGAATATCTGATTTAAATGAAGCAAAGCTTATATATGCTTACATGAACATGTATGATGGGAGTAACTATAATCCTACAAAATGTAGTATATTACTTACAAATTGTACTGTATAGATACAAACTGAGGTTTGATTTTCTAGTTTAACCCTCACACTATGAGTAGATCAACGTGCATATGTCACAATATTTTACAGAGTTACATCCAAAATTTAATTAAACTACTTTATGATCAATGAATAAACTTGACATCAAAACATAATTAATAAATAAAAATTTTAATACAAGTTTTCACTTAATTTTAAAAGGAAATATTTAAATAAATCTCAATCTCCCCTTATATGGGAATTGTGACATTTGTTTGCACAATCTTGACCCATCCTGTATTTTTTAATCACCCCTCTCTGATATTCTGAGTTTACAGTACATTACTTATTAGAGTTGAGATGTTACTAAAGCAAAGTTTAATTTCTATAGCCTTCAACTGTCTTAATTTTAGGAGGTATAGAATTAAAAGTCAAACCCATTTGCCACACCCTATCTTTCACAAAATGCAAATGGTTTTCCCTGATGTTTTCTATAACATTATTTATAACCAAGAGAAAGACAGAATTTCAATTTATCAAATGATGTATAATACTATATTGATCTCAGTGCAGAGTTTTAGTTTTTCAAGATCAAGAAGCTAAGGAAATTATTTTAAAGTATTTACACCGTAGTTAAAAAGCCAGTTAAATTATCATAGTCTGTATGGAAAGAGCTAAAGAAGTAGTATAATAATGGTTGGAGATGGCTTGAATGGGTAATGAAGAAAAACTTTAATATAAGTTTAACATAAGACAAAACCTTGTCGAAACATTGTACATTTGCTGTTATGTT